CTGTGGACACTTGACTTCCAGTCAAGCTCCTGGAACAGAGCGGGAGCCGGGGTCGCCGGCGCCCGGGGCGGAGAGAGCCATGTGTCACGGCGGAGACGGCGGCGCTGGGGGGCGGGGAGAGCCCGTGGCCTGGCGCCGCCGCGGTCTCGGTGTGGAGGGGCGAGGTTGTGCAGCTGCTGCTTTCTGGGGCTCCTGCCGCGGCGTCGGGTTGATGTCGGGAGCCGGTGACGGTCCTCTTGGCCTGGGACTCGGTGGGTTTCCGTTGAAGGAAGTTGTAGGACATTTGAAGGCGCAGAGCACGTGTTTCTAATGGGTTCCTGGTGGCCGCAGCGGAGAGGTTGCTGCTCTGGGTGCGGAGTCGGGGGCGGGCTTTGGGGCGCGGGGGTGAAGGGTGGAGAAATTGGGTGGTGGGAAGGTTGCTTGTGTGAGCGCTTTGTTCTTCGCTGGCTGTTGTTGTTGCTGATCTATAAGCGGCAGGCGGGAAAAGCGCGCACTTTGAGGGTTTACCTTGGAGAGGGAAAAGCCTGGCTTTGCTTTCTCCACACATACCTCATTCTCCGGACGGGCACGACTGCATGTGGCACGCTGGCTGGTCCTCGTGCTGACTGGGCTCCATTTGTAATAGGGTTTTCCTAGGGAGTGTTAGCAGGTGAGTCAGGGGTGGTGCTAAGGAAAAAACGGTGAATCTGTACTGTGCCCTGCGCTCAAATCTGGCTTGTCAGGCGATAGTGATTTCAAGGCTTCTTTAAAGGCTGGCTGGCATAGTAATGGTAGAGAAAGGAATGATTGGGGCTCTCATATTGTCCTCTACCCTCTCTGAAGACCCTAGTTTAATTTTGCTTATTGCGTTTGAACAGATCTCTGGAAACATGGCTACAGAACATGTTAATGGAAATGGTACTGAAGAGCCCATGGATACTACTTCTGCAGTTATCCATTCAGAAAATTTTCAGACATTGCTTGATGCTGGTTTACCACAGAAAGTTGCTGAAAAACTAGATGAAATTTACGTTGCAGGTAAGAACTAACACTTGCAAAATTATATTATGAAATTTTTCTATTGGATTTCTGGCTTTGAGCTAAAATAGCAACTTTTTGTGGTTTCCAATAAGTGTGGGAACTGGAGTTTTGCCTTGTTGTGATAGTTTGAGGTAGAGGTTAAGGTGACTAGAGGGAGGGAAGAAGGAAGCTTAGGAGGTAAAGGTTGGCTGGCCAGGTGGATAAGTATATGATGGTAGCAACAGCTGCTAAATGTTGGGGACAGGCCATGTGACTTTTTGGGGTATTTTCATAATAGGATTCTTGTTAAACAACATGGTAACTAGCCTTGTAGTCTTGTCTGTCTTGGTGTGGCTGTTGCTTTTTCTCCTGGTATTTGAAATTGGAGGTTCAGTTGTCATGCTTGGTACTTTTGTTGGTTGATATTAGAATTTGTAAGCCTATATATTTTACTGTAGAAATGCTTAGTGTTCACAGTTATCTGACTTAGACACAGAACAAGATATAAAAGAAGTTGATTCCTTATTGTGTGTTTGAGGCCTTACTGCAGTTCAGAATGGCTAAAGTATGTTTTTTTATTATATAGATGATAAAGGGAATGGAAGAATTTTTAGTTGGCGCACCAGTACCTGTACTGGCAAATCTGAACTTTTCTAAGCAAAAATCATTCAAAAATATTAAAAGTTTTCTCCTTTAATTAAGTTTTTTCTTCTCCAGGGCTTGTTGCACATAGTGATTTAGATGAAAGAGCTATCGAAGCTTTAAAAGAATTCAATGAGGACGGCGCACTGGCAGTTCTTCAACAGTTTAAAGACAGTGATCTCTCTCATGTTCAGGTAACATTGTCAGCTCAAAAAAGAATAAAAAACTTGAAGTTTTGTTATAGTTTATAGATAGAGCTAAGACAGTTTTTAAACATGGTTGGAAAATTCCTTTACAGAACAAAAGTGCCTTTTTATGTGGAGTCATGAAGACTTACAGGCAGAGAGAAAAACAGGGGACCAAAGTAGCGGATTCTAGCAAAGGACCAGATGAGGCAAAAATTAAGGTATGTCTTTAATTTTTTTTTTTTAAAGCACTGTTCACTTGTAAAGTTCTTTAGATTTTTTTTAAGCTTTGGTTAACTATTTCTAGTATGTGTAAGATGTTGAGAGTTAATGACCATGACATAATCTGTTAATCTTCTAATTGCTATTTTAAAAAGTTTCTTGCCTTTTAACTTTTTCTGTCCTAAAACATTTCACTGTTCTAAGTTTTTCTTGAACATTTCGCTAATGCTGTTTAAGACGGTGCTATTGTGTTCTAACTAAAAACATTAAAGCAATACCATTTTTCTAGATTTATTTTCCTGAAAAGTTGCAAGTCTGGATTACTGACACTGTAACCAAAGGGAATATCTATTTAGCGTTACCTCTTGATTGCTTTTCTTAGGATTCTTTGGCTATCAGGCTAAGTGGATTTAGAATTTTAACACTACCTTCCTCCCTACCCTAGTCTGGGCCAATTTGATCATTTCTGAAAGCAGTTTCTAATAATAGGAGTGGTCAGTGTAGAATGGAAAAGAGGAAATTGAGGCTAGGAGTGAAAGGTAGGGTTTTTTTTTTTTTAATTCTATGGTGGCATCAAAACCAAGTAAGTTTTTTTACTTTTGTGTTTGAGTTTTTAGAAGAGCATGGTGATTATACTATGTTTTGACTAGCTCTTACTACAGTGTGTTTTTGGTGTTCTTGAACCAAGGATTATAGTTAGAAAATTAGCTATTGAGGGTGGTGTTATATAGTATTGTAAAGGGAAGAGGAAACTTGATATATGAGGTTAGCTGTTGCTGTTGTCTGCATTTAAGTTTGAGACTTTCGTAGGTCTAGTTTTAAGTAAGTTTTGTTTGAACAATAAATTTTTTGGTAGAAATGGAATATAGTTTGTGTTACAATCATTTTGTTTGTAATTAAGTCTACATTTGGGAGCTAAATTACGAAAGTTTACCCAGAAAAGTGTAGTTTTGTGACTTCAGTTCCATCTTTGGAAGAGAGTGGCTCAAAGTTTCATTGTGACTTTAAATTGTTACAAAAGACATAGAGATAGATGTTTTTACAGAATGTTTGATAGAGAAAATTAATTTTTCCTGTTTTGGGGAGTTGACAATGAAAGGCGTATCCTGGATTGTTAGGATGAAAGTGGCACAAGTCCTCCACAGAACAGCATATGGAGAAAAAGGGAAGATGAGCCATTTTACAGTTGATGTGATAGCTAGCTTATTTTTGTTTTTAACCCAGTGTTGCACTCAAATAATTAAGCAGACAGTGGCTAAAATAGAAAAAGACTGCTTAAAATATGAAATACTTTGTGGGCTGTTTTGTTAGAAATTTTAGGAATAGAAAAGGTTTTAAGTTATTTTCATAAATGATGATTTGGAGTGGGAAATGTGTAAAAGCTTTTCATTATTCTGAGATGGGGTGCTCCCAAATTACATAGCTGTATTTGATAAGTTTTGTCATGTGCCTGGTGTTTGTTTTTATTTCAGAATTTATCAGTTAATTATTACGTTGGTTTTATTATTTAGAAAACTGGATTTGTCCTTTCTGTTTGAGATAATGGGAGGAGGAGAGTAATTCTTGGCTTTTTCCATAGGCTAAGAGTAGACTATTACTAGTATTTTTGCATCCAAAATAGGGCTTGAAGAGAGATTTAATGTTTTGAGTAGATTTTAGTAGTTCACCTTTCAGGAGATAAAATGTACAGGCTAGGTCACATTGTTGCAAATTTTGGTGCCTTTTTTTAAAAAATGCATGTTCAACAAATGTACTTGAATGTCAAATAAGAATGTACATTTCTTAGAACTTTTAAGCGTCTGGACTTAGTTTGAAGAGTATAATTTCTGTAAAATTTGCTGGAATGCTCATAATGTTGGTGTGGGATACAGGAAATGTATTAGTTAAGATGTCCAGACTTTGGAGAGAGAACCTATCCATCCTTCACAGGAGAAAATTAGTTCAACCAAATCATGTATGGTCCTTTTTAAAGGAGGTGTTAGATATACTTTGCCTTGAAAGTTGAAGGGTCAATTTAAATCGTTTTCATTAAGCACTACTCAGTGATTTACTGTAGAAAGTAATTTGAACAGGACTCTGAAATTTGCCTATAAATTAGGACAATTATAAGTACATATTAAGAAATTCTAAGAGACACCAGAAACCTGTTCCTAGGGAATGTTGCCAAGATAAATGGAAAGATTTGAACAAGATTGATTTTTAACTGCTGAATGTATGGGTGTGGTCTTGTGAATTAAATGTATTAATGGCATTTGAACTCTTTAAGGCACTCTTGGAAAGAACAGGCTACACACTTGATGTGACTACTGGACAGAGGAAGTATGGGGGACCGCCTCCAGATTCCGTTTATTCAGGTCAGCAGCCTTCTGTTGGCACTGAGGTAAAGAAACTAAAAACTTGTATCTTTTGTAGTAAATGCACAGGTATCTGTTTCCTAAAGAAGCTCTCCATGGTTTTTACTTCATATTTAACTTACAGATATTTGTGGGAAAGATCCCAAGAGATCTATTTGAGGATGAACTTGTTCCATTATTTGAGAAAGCTGGACCTATATGGGATCTTCGTCTAATGATGGATCCACTCACTGGTCTCAATAGAGGTTATGCGTTTGTCACTTTTTGTACAAAAGAAGCAGCTCAGGAGGCTGTTAAACTGGTAAGTTTTCCCACTTTCTTCACAGTCACTCTGTTTAATTAAAGCCAGATATTTGTTATTGTGTGTAAGAGTTAATTAACCATATGCTTTTTGAAGGACTTTAAGCAGTGTCTTTCACATTCTCTTGATACATGTTTTAGCAGAATTTTTTGCATGTTATCGTTGATAGCACTCAGGATCTAGAAAATAGTGTTGGCAGGATTCCTACTTATTGGTTCTTTGAAACATCATGCATAGGGACTTTGAAAGGTTTAAGAAAGGGATAAGATACCCATAGTTTCTGATTATACCCAGGTTGATCACACATTTTCTAAAAGACAAAGCATTGATAAATAATGAAATAAAGGATTTTGTGTGAGTGACTACTGAAAAATACTAGATTTTAGATGAGGACTTAGCTATTAGCCCAGTCTTTTAGAATTACAAATTATATCTTACAGAAGTTCAAATGGCAAGGGACTTTTGAAAATGGCCCATTATGATAGATGTTTGTTAATTTTGCCTTGTCTGGCTTACATATTATGGGTAATTCCAAGCAGATTTAAAATCCTCAAACTGATTTCTCCTCCCATTTTTGTTTTTCCTTCCCATTAGGCTACATAGCATTTTAAGGTAAATTTTGAGAAAAGGAAACCGAGTATACTTTGTTTTGCTTGCTTTGTTGCTTGAATTTCTCCACTGGTGTGTATAATTGAATATAGATGTTTTGTTTTTTTAAATAATTCAAGAAAAGTTTCTTTTTAAATAATGGGTTTTTCCCCCCCCCCGCCTTCAGAGACTGTTTCCTATTTCAGGTATAGTTCTGTAGGGAGCCATTGTCTGGTAATTTTGAACTCTTCAAACTGGTTTCAGCAGTTCAAGTAAAATTAAGTTACTTTTTCGACTTCTGAATAGATAACTAGAAATCGTCCAGTTTAGTCTGTTAATAGAACATTTTTATAAGATAGCAATAAAATAGTAATAAATTTAATGCGAAAACTGAATATGATTGAGATGGCAGTGAATTACCTTCTACATACTAGTTAGTGCACAACTTAACTGGTGTTATTAGGCCCATTTTACTTACTAGATTTTGCATAGCTTTAATTTTGTCTGGATTATTTAGTGTGTTACATAGTAATGATTTATTTATTACCATTTTAAAAAAGGAATTGCTAAACCAAAATTGTTAGTCTACTTAATTCTTGCTGCCAAAGTACAGTGAATTATGGTAGGTTCTAACTAGAATTTATTTTTATAATTTCCAGAAATCTTGCAGTAAACACCTGTCATTAGAGGAAAATGAATATGATTCAGTTGTGATACGATTTCAGTTTGGGTAATTGCCTTGGTTTTACAAATACTCTATAGTCCAGTGTTGCATTGTTGCAGCCTTAATGTCTATATATAAACTTGTGTTTTAACAATAGTGCAGGAATTTGCCTAGGTGGTTGAATAGCCATGTTGGTGAGTCTGGCAGTTGTTTTTTTTAAAGATTTATTTATTTATTCATATAGAGCTGGGGTACAGGCCAGAGATGCGGAGGGTGAGAGGCTTCACCAGAGACAGAGTGGGGAGCAGAACAGGCAGATCGATAAAGCACACTGCTGAGGGGA